GGGAAGCCATTTGTTCATGAATATACATTTGATACATATAAATGCTTTGTGCCATGAATATTTATCTCTTTCATGGATTGCAGCTGTTGTGTATTGAAAACTATTAACAGGTTGGAAACCGTCCTTTAGAAACCTATGCCTGTCATTGGTGTGCAAAACCATCCCTGGAAATTTATCTTTTTCCCCCTTCCTCTTTTGTGGGAAAGATAGCATACTCCTGGGGTTTATAATGAAGTTAGGCCCTTAGAAGATAGAGAAATGAATTTGGTAAAAATGAAAGGCAGCTTTCAAGGGAGAATTTACAAACACACACGCACACGATTTATTTGAAGTTTTCTAACTTAAATTATTTAGGTAATATGACTAAGGCAGAGTTTTATCTACCAACTGGGCTTCAGATTTTGATGAATCATTGAAAACAGAGGTGAAAATATTAGTCATTCAATATTATGTATTTGTGAGGGTGGAGAGTGTCACATGATTTCTATTTTTACCCAAGATGCAAACCTAAAGCTTATGGATATTCTTCAAGTTTTTTTTGCACAGAATGAATAGTTTTTCAGACGTCAATCTTGTACTCCTTCATGTTCTATATAATTTAGCCACTCTTAATTCTTGTTTCCCAAACAAACAATGTTCTCTTATGCCTCAGGACATCTGTTAATTCTGTTCCCATTGTCTGAAAGGTTTTTTTCTCCAATTCTGAGCATCCTTGCAGGTTTTCCCCTTAATCCACTTCTCTTCAAGAGCAGATTCAAGCATTTGTGTCTTGGAATATCTTTTTATGCTTTTTGTTATCTATCCCCCATCCATCTCCAGAAATCACTCCTGCCAATGTCCCTTCTCATGGTAAATTCCTTTTCTGGATCCTTCTGCTGTGCCTCCCTGAGCTCTAGTACGGCCACTTACTGTTTTACAGTTATTTGTTTTGAGGTGCATCTCTTTTAGTAGAGGAAAGTTACTTGAATATAAGAAAAGATCCAGCACACCTCTTGACTTTCATACAGTGAATGCCATGTTTGACATTGATTCTTTGATTAACATATGTTTATGCAATGAGTAAAATTGGGGGGGGTCAATGGTATTTAATTTTTATGTTTAATCTTTATGGGTGCATAACAGGTGTATATATTTATGGGGTACATGAGATATTTTGATACAGGCATACAATGTATAATTATTACAGGAGGGTAAATGGAATATCTCTCACCTCAAGTAGTTACTATTTCTTTGTGTTATAAACATTCCAATCACACTTTTTTTAGTTACTTTAAAATGCACAATAAATTATTGGTATTTAAGGGTAGATGTCCATGAAAAATATTTTACTATCTCTGTAACAATATACAAAGCCAAATGACAGCTACTCTTTCTCTCCCTTTTTCTGATTTTCTCTTTTTCTTCTCTTACCATTCTAGTTAGCTCTTCTTGGCCAACTGAATTCTCCATTGGAAAAGGACAACTGTGGTTTACACTGTCACTCAGGTTTATGCCCAGGCTTTCCTGTGTGCTATCCCTTTTCTCCCCTAACGCACCTCCACCCAAAGATGCAAACAATAGGAAAATTCATCATTCTTTACTCTTTCCGATCCTACCCTAAGTAACAGAAAATATGAACTGCTGTGACATATTTAGGCACTTTTGACTCTAATGAGTTTTTAAGGTATGCTGATATAAATACTTTCTTGTATATGCTATGTTATTTTGGTAGAATGAAATTTGAGGATGTAGTCATAGTTATGGGATGTCTGATATCTATCCGTGAAGATGCTATGTGTGTTTGTTGCTCCCTTTCATCAGTGCTCATCATAAAGCTTTCTCTAGCATGGAAAACTTGCCTTTGACTTCTTTTAATTTGGATCCACTTATTGGCTGTAATAGATGGCAAAAATGTCTCCAAATACATCCCTTCTCTGACTCCATGCCTCTTTGCAATGTGACCTGGCAATTCCTCTAACAAAGAAGTAAAATTTATTTTTTTCCCCTTAAATTTGAGCTGGTCAGTAAAAATATGCTAGAAAAGGTGCTGTGGATGTTCTGAGCCTTGATCTGCCCTTACTGCCATTGGGACTCTGCCACCACCATGTGATAAAAACTGAAGATAGGCTGATGGAGAATGAAAAGTAATGTCAAGAGAAGCTCTAGTCATCTGAGCTGTCTCAGAAATGGTCATCATAAACCAGTCAGCCTCAGCAAACCAGCCAGGTGATCACAGATATCTGAGCAAATCCAGTCACGATCAGCCAAACCCAGATCTGATTAGACCAGATTGTTAATCAGTAGATTCAGGAGCTAAATAAATGGTTGAAATCACTAAATTTGGGGGTAGTTTGTTACATAGGAAAAGCTGACTGATACAATGATAGGGCACAAGAGGTTCTGATAATTCAAGCAAAATCTTATACTAGGCTGGGTGCAGTGGCTCACACCTGTAACCCCAGCACGTTGGGAGGCTGAGGCAGGTGGATCACCTGAGGTCAGGGGTTCAAGACCAGCCTGGCCAACATGGTGAAACCCAATCTCTACTAAAACTACAAAAAATACAAAAAACTAGCCAGGTATGGTGGCGGGCATCTGTAATCCCAGCTGATCGGGATTGTAAGCCCAGCTGCCAGACTGAGGCAGGAGAATTGCTTGAACCTGGGAGATGGAGGTTGCAGTGAGCCGAGATAGTACCATTGCACTCCAGCCTGGGTAACAAGAGTGAAATTGTCTCAGACACACACACACACACACACACACACAAAAAAATCCTGTACTAGGAGTCAGTGCATAATAAATACATAACAGAGGAACATATGGGATAGAGATTATTAATGTGAGACAACTTACATCAGTTCTGACCGTACCTTCTACCTCTGATCTTGCCTTTCTTGAAGATGGCTTCCACAAACTTTTAATTTACTTCCTCATGATGTTTCTGGCAGTGACTCTACCTCCACTTGCTTATAAATCAACCCTTTTTTTTTTTTTTCACCGATTAAGTCTTTAAGGTTTGTGTCACAGGCCAGTTAGCTCTTTCGTCTCTCCTATCTTGGTCTTTCCCCAAGGCCAGCTTGTTTAGAAAAGTAGGCTTAGCTTAAGTTTTGGAGGAGAGGCAACACAACCAGCATCAACTATTACTGGCTGAGGACTTCCTACGTTCAAAGTTTCATTTAATCCTTATTACAATGTAGGTCGTAAGAATCAGGAGTCTTAGCTATAAGCTGGGAAACATGAAGCCATAAAACCAGAAAGAAAAGATTGGGAAGATCTTGACCCAGAAAGGGGGCTGGTTACCAGAGGCCTTCAAATCTGAATCAGACTTTAAAGGAGAGTAGGCTGGAAGCAATGATTCAAAGAGAGGCACACACCTGCTGTTAGTAGGCTTGCAGCTAGGTGCACTCTGCTGTATTTTCATGTGATTGGTTCTGCCTTTGTTAGCATGAGCAGATAATGGATGGCAGCCAGACAGACTAAGTTCTCAAATGCCTATTGCTCAGTAGAGGTGAAAGGCTCGAGCTTCCGGTACATTTGAACATCATATGTGATAAATGCAATCTCTCAGGAATGTCTACACAAAGTTGCGTGAGAGTCATTCTCTTTTATCAACAAATGTCCTTTTTAACTTTGAAAAGTCCTTAAATCAACCTCACCTGAAACAAAACAGTGTGTCACTTAAATGGATAGACAACTATGTCACACATTAGGTATGAAGCTCCTTTTAGTTATCCAGTACATTGCCCAGGTAACATTGGGTTGCATCTCAGGAATGTAGTCTGCATCAATGTTTAATTTTGTTTAAAATGTGTTCAATGTTAACATACTGCTTCAGAAAACTATTTTATTGACTAGTGATTCAGATCTCTACATGTTCTGAACTTACTTCTCATCATCTGGGCTAAAGATAAAGACTTTTTGGAGAACTCATTTGTACTAGATTAACTAATCCTATTTTTCTTTGAGGCCTATAAATTAAATTAGGCCTAGGCTCTCATGTTTCCTTAGTTACTTGTATTTAGCCTTGAAATTTCTTCATTTAGTTCCTGAGTGAAGGTTATTGCTCTTGTCTGAATGTTACTCAAGACTGCTACAACTCTGTAACCATAAAACCCACATTTGAATGTGGAATTTCAAATGACGTTTTAGGAAAGACTTTACTGTCACCCAATTGATTTCAATCAGTGAAGTAAAAGCTATTATTTACTTATCTTACATGTATTAAAAGCTGCTAATAAAATTTGTTTTACATTTGTGTCTTTGCATATAAGTCTGAATAAAGATCTATAAGAACAGATGTGCCATGTATATCTTTGTACAGATCTATAGATCTTTATGTACATTTGCATGATGTTTATGTCTGTCATCCATCATCGTCATTCTCTCTCTTGCTCTCTCTCTCTTCAGTGTGTGTGTATAAACAGATCTTTTAATACATTTAAATGGCTTGTGATTATTGGTATTAGGAAGGCATAGGAAAGGTCCAGGCAACTTTTTACTTACGGACAAGTTATTAACTCCTTTTATTTCTCTTGCATTTCCACTTTCATGTCTAGATGTTCACTATTTCATTGTTCATTAAAATATCCTCCAGGGGAAAGAAGATGAGCTCTAGGTATCTAGTGCAATGTGCAGCACTCTAGAGATACCCATTAAGTGTCTGTTGACAATGACAATGATGATGATAAAATTCAAATCAGTTAATTGGTTCTGCACCTGTTAGTAATGCCAGTGAAACTTTGCATCAGACACAGGTTAAAACAATGAGTGAATTTTCTGTGAAGACATGCTCCTCTTATGGGGAGGAATACTCATGTCGAGGGCTCCTATCTCACAGTTTCTATCGGCGTGAAATGGAGTAATAGAGTAAGGCGAACCCAGGGGAAGGCAGAGCGTGCAATGTGTCTGTAGTGATTGTGGGGCTATGACAAGGGCCTATCGTCTCTGACTTTTCCTACACCTGCGATTTATCCTTTGGGCTGAGACATCTCTTCTATTCTTCCTTGTTTATGTATACACAGGCAATTGTAAAAGCAGAAAGAAGGACATTCCAGAGAAGGAAAATGTTCTAACTCAGAGAAGGGAGCATTTCAGCTCATTCTTGACGGATATGTGAAAGTAAGTCAAATACACTTGAATGTTTGGGGAAAAAAAATAAAATAAGAGGTTGGGATGCTATCTTCCTCTTGCCTCAGTCAAAATAGGCCAAATTCAAAGCTTAAAAGGGCAGCAGAAGATTAGAAAATGCCTAAAGAGGAGAACTCAGAGAAAGAGAACCCTGAAAGACAAACTTCACTCACATTATAATCTCCTAGGAGGCCATTCAGTATAACCAGAAAAGCACTCTCCATTTTCATATTTCAGAGAGTTTTCTGTTTGTCAAGATTTAAAAAAAATTCTTTTCTACATTTAATTGCAGTAACAGTTTTTGGTGCTTATCGATGTTAATGGTAAATACAGCATAAATAGAAAGGTACATTTACTTTCCTTATAGAGTATTTTCTATTACATGATTGAATAAATACAGTAGGATTTGGGAATACAGAAAAAAACTACCAATCTGTTTGCAAAGTAATAACATTACCGACAATGTCAATTTTATTTAAAAGGTGAGCTTCATGAGATTCAGAACCAATTTTCCAAATCTAAGATCAATTCCATAAAAAATGAGTATACTCTGAGACTTTAAGAGAAAATTTATTCAAGAGACTGTTGCATATTTTACATCACCCCCAGATTACATGTTAAAACATGTCATATTTGTTTCAAATGTCCTTTCTACACAAAATGAGCCTGTTCCTGATAAACATGACTCTCCGTCCTACCCTCTCAACTTCTTTTCATTGTCTGGATCTCTATTTTTTTTTTTTTCCTTAGAATTGTATGTCTTCTAAATGTAAATAAGCCTTATGGCTTTTAAATTCTACAAGATCTCCAAAATGCTATCTGCATCCCAAATCTTACTTTTATTTCCTTTGCCTAAAAATACGGAGAAAAACAAACAAATACAACACAAACACACACACACACACACACACACACACAAACTATAAACAAAACCCCACAGGCTTCATTTTCCATGACAGGAAATAGCTGAAAAGGGAGAAGAAGGCAAATTGGGATTTACATTGGAACTTAAGAAGTAAATAATTAATCTCCCACTTTTCCCTGCCTCAGTTTGGAACCACTGAGAAAGAGGAGTCAGGATGACCATCAAAATATGACCTTTGTCTGTTGGGGAACATGACTTGTGCATGGAGAAAAATGGGCTTAATGGTTCTATACTCCCTGGGATGAGAAAGATTTATCCATCTGTTCACCAGGCAGAGACAGAAAAAAAATCCTAGTGTTTCTGAAATAGAAAAAGTGTCAGGGGAGGGGAGTGTACCCCCATCCATTTTATAGCAATAGGAAGCAGCAATAGCATCTTCCTTGAAGGCAGACTGGCTCCCAAAGAGAGTTAGAAGGGGTTAAGAAGAGTATTAGCAGTTCCTTCTTTCAAATTACCAATCCTATAAAGAGGGTTAAGGGAGGAGAATGGGCAAGAGATCTGAGTCTTTCTCTAGAGGTGGTCCCTCCATAGCGAAATCTTAGGACAGGGAATAGAAAGAGTCCCTCATCTTACTATTTAAGGACTTCTCTTAGCCCCACTGTCTAAATTTAATTAAGCCACTTCAAGCTTCTTTAGGCCTTTGGCAAGCTTCATGGTCATTCTGAACTATTCCTGATGTACTTATGTTTTTAAAAATTATGCTTTGGATAGTTCTGAGAAAGTGACTCTTGGGAAAGAGTACATTTTGTTCCAAATATCTAAACCATAATGAAGCCAGATCCGGGTGCTTTCAAAACAGAACCTCTATATTAGTCACAAAAATTAGAAGCAACAAAATCTATTAGATCATCTGCTGCCTCCTCATGCCAAGCCCGGGGAATATGGACTGCTTATTCTTTTGAACTTACACTGTTTATCAGAAGGGCAACTAAATAAAGCTTCCTCAGAAATAGACACAGAGGGGCTCATTATGTGTCAGCATACAGAAATTCAGAAATGTCTCCAGAGCACATAGAGAAAAATGTATGTGGAAAAAAGAAATTTGTTCTGGGAAGTTTTTTTTCTTATTAAGCTGGTTTAATTCCTTTACCAACTTTCTATCTAGCATACTTAAATCATACCCAATTTTTTAAATGTTTATTTTCATTTTGCTGAAATTATTCTCATCAGGATCATTTTCCATGTAAAATTTTCAGTGAAAGTGATGTACTGCTAATCAAGTTTTAAAATTTATATTAATAAATTTATAACGTCTGCAATTGGAAATTTTGTTGTATGACATTGTATCTATTCTAAATCTAATGCTGCAGATAGAGATTTTATTAAAAAGTTTTCCTTCTGTCTATTTTTAGTCAACAACAAAGTTTACTATATGCAATTTGTTTTATTTTGTGTCATTATTTTTACTGTTAATATTAATCATAGGTTGAATAAAAGAAAATCGTTTATATTTATTTCTTAGCTAACTTACGAGAAAATAGCAAGCAGTTTTCCTTTGCTCTTCCCGAATTGCTGCAATGTAAAGGACTAGACAGCTTTGTCACTAAACCAATTCTTCTGTATATTTTTATCACTTTGTATATTGCCTTATAAAGTATATCATCTTAGTCTGGTCTGGGGATGCTATAAAACCTTTATCATATACATAGGTATGTCACCTATGGATATACTATAAGTGGCTTAAGCAACATTTATTTATTTTTCACAGTTCTGGAGTCTGGGAAGTCCAAGATGAAGCTGCCTGCAGATCCAGTGTCTGGTGTGGGTCCACTTTTTGGTTTGCAGATGACAATGACCACGTGGCAGAGAGCAGAGAGGGAGTGGCTCTCTTTCCCTTGTTATGTGGACACTAATCTCATCAAAGGGGTTCCACCCTCACGAGCAATTTACTTCTAAAAGATCCCACTTCCCAGTGCTATCACATTAGAACTTCAGCATATAAATGTGGAGGAAACACAGGCATTCATTCCATAGTACACCCCTCCTGCTTGTGGAAACAAGGGTAAGTGGTGGGTCCAAAGTGATTTACTTTGCTTTATATTTGTCAACATTCGGGAGACAAAAAAAAAAAAAAAAAGATAAAAAAACTAAAATATTCTTTGTTCTCTTTGTTTCTTCTGATTTCTTTTTCCTATTTTTTCCTCTCTCATCTCTAAACTTTCAGTCATTTGAAAGTTTCCCTGACTCATCTTTTTCTTCTTCTGTAACTATTCTATCCTATTTGTCTCTTGCCTCAGTCCTCTTTCGGCCTGCTGTTGGCTTGCCCTCTCTCTCCCACTCCATGTGGGACCCCTGCACTGTCCCTGACAGTTCTCTGGGTATTTAGGTGCACTATCTCCTCTGTTGCTCTACCACCATCTCTAACCAAGAGCTGCTTATTCAATGTCATGATTGTAAAGGTTCAGGGAAGAAACTCTTGCCCCTGACACTCAGCATCCCATTCAGATCAAGTTACCATCACTGAAAGAGTTTATTAAACTATTTATTGTATGGGTTTAAATACAGTGCTGAAAATAGTCCACTTATCTGAGCTTGAGCAGAGGGATGGATGATAGGATCTCAGGAGGACCTTGCCAGATGAAGAAATTTGGAATCATCAACTTAGATTTATTAGACATACTTGTGGGTTTTGGAGTTGTATTACATTAATTCAGACTTCAAGCCCTAAAATCCAGTTTTGTTTTGTTTTTTTCATAAAGCTTAAAATGTTGTGGTATTGAGCTGAGTTTTCTGCAAGCTTTTGTTATTGTTTCTGTCATTATTTACTTAAAACAAGGTTTGTTTGTCTTATCATTTAGTAGTATTCTAGTATGTTCAGAGTTGTGCAACCATCACCACAATCTAATTTTAGAACATATTCAAAACCCATAAAAAGAAACCCCAACCCATATCCATTAGCAGTTATTCCCCATTACTGTTCTCCAGCTCACCACCGCAGCCCCAGGCAACCACTATTCTATTTTCTGTTTCCATAGATTTGCCTGTTCATGGCTCTTCAAATAAATGCAATTATACAATATGTGGTCTCCTGTGACTGGTTTCTTTTACTTAATATAATGCATTCAGGGTTCTCAAGTAGTAGCATATATCAGTGTGTCATTATTTTTTATTGCTAAATGATGTTAGATTGTATAGATATAAATATTTACTAGTTGATAGACATTTGTTTCCACTTTTTGGCTGTTATAAATAATGCTGCTATGAACATTCACATATGAGTTTTTGTGTGAAGATACATTTGCACTTCTTTTGGGTATACCTGGTACTGGTGTTGATATGTCTTATGATGACTCCATGCCTAATATTTTGAGGAACAGATAAACTGTTATCCAAAATGTCTGCCCTATTTTACACCTTCACAAGAAATTTATGAGGGTTTCCATTTCTCCTCATCCTCTTTGACCTTTGTTACTCCCTGTCTTTTTAGTCATGTTTGTGGGTGTGAAATTGTGTCTCATTGTGGTTTTGATTTGCATTTTCCTAGTAACTAATGATGTGGAGAATCTCTTCATGTGATTGTTGGTCATTTATATACCTTATTTGAAGAAGTGTACACTCAAATCCTTTACCCATTTAAAAATTGGGTTGTTTATCATTTTATTGTTGCATTGTTTAGAATTATTTATAAATTCTGAATACAAATCCTATGTCATTTACAAATAACTTATCTCATTTTGTGGTTGTCTTTTCATGTTCTAGATGGTGTTCTTTTTAAATTTGTTGAAGGCTAATTAATCTATCTATCTATCTATCTATCTATCTATCTATCTATCTATCTATCTATCTATCTATATTGTTGCTTGTGCTTTTCATATCATATCTAAGAAACCAGTGCTTAACCTAAGGTCACAAAGATTTACTACTAAGTTCTCTTTTAGTTTGGTAGTATTAGCTCTTCTATTTAGGTTTGTGATGTATTTGAGCTAATTTTTGTATATGGTATGTGATAAAGGTTCAACTTCATTGTTTTGCATGTAGATATCCAGTTTTCTCAACACTGTTGGTTAAAAAGACTATCCTTTGCACATTGAATTGTCTTGGCACCCTTGTTGCAGAACAAAAGGCCACAAGTGTAAGAACTTTCTTTTGGAACTATCAACTTAATTTCTTTCATTCATATATATATATATATAATCTTATATCAGTAGCATGCTGTCTTAATTACTATAGATTTATAGTAAGTTTTGAAAATGAGAAGTGTGAGTCCACCAACTTTGTCCTTTATTCCCAAGATTGTTTAATTATTCTGAGTCTCTTGAATTTCTGTGTGAATGTTAGGATCATCTTTTCAATTTCTGCAAGAAAATGAGCTGAAATTCTGATAATGATTGCATTGAATTTGTAGAACAATTTGGGTAATATATCTTAACAATGTTAAGTTTTCTCACTCATGAGAATGGGATATTGTTTCATTTTTTAAAATCTTTATTTAAAAATATTTTTATATTTTTCAAAGTACAAGTTGCGCTTAAACATTTATTCCTAGGTATTCTATGTAATTATTAGTTCTTACTATAAGTCATTTCTTAATTTCATTTTTTGAATATTCATGGTTAGTATATACAAATACGATTGATCTTTGTATATTGAACTTGTATTCAGTAACAATGTTGAACTTGTTTATTTGTTCTAATAGTTTTTATAGTGGATTTTCTATATACAAGATCGTATTACCTACAAACAAAAATAGTTTTACTTCTTCATTTTCAATCTTATGCTCTTTATTTCTTTCTCTTACCTTGTTACTCTGCCCAGAAATTCAGTACAATGATGAACAGAAATAGTAAGCTTGGATGTGCTTGTCTTATTGTTGATCTTAGAGGGAAATGATTTGGTGATTTTCTGTTAAGTATGTTAGCTATGGAATTTATAATAAAATGTCTTTTATCAGGTTGAGGAAGTTCTCTGTATTTGTAGTTTTCAAAATGTTTTTAGCAGAACAAGAGTGTTGGATTTTGTCAGATGCTTTTGCTGCCTCTATTGAGATGATTTATGTGGGTTTTGTCCTTAATTTTACTAGCATGGTATGTTACATGGATTCATTTTCAGATGTTGAACCAGCCTTGCATTCCTGAGATAAATCTCTTTTGATCATGGAATTAAATATTTTTAAATTTTTTGGGGGATCTGATTTGCTAATATTTTGTTGAGGATTTTTGCATCCATATTCATAAAGAATATTGGTCTATACTTTTCTTTTCTTACAATATCTTTGTCTGATCTTTGTATCAGGGTAATACTGGGATCATAGAAATAATTGGGATTCTTTTGTTCCTCTTCTGTTTTTTGAAAGAGTTTTTGAAGAATTGGTACCAGTTCTTTAAATGTTTAGTTGAATTCCTCTGAGAAACCATCTGCTCCTGGGCTTTAATTTATACAGTTGGGTTTTTTTGTTTGTTTTTGTTTTTGTTTTTGTTTTGAGACAGAGTTTTGCTCTTGTTGCCCAGCCTGGAGTACAATGGTGCAATCTTGGCTCACTGCATCCTCTGCCTCCCAGGGTCAACTGATTCTCCTGCCTCAGCCTCTGGAGTAGCTGGGATTACAGGTGCCTGCCACTACCTCCAGCTAATTTTTTGTATTTTTAGTAGAGATGGGGTTTCACCATGTTGGCCAGGCTGGTCTTGAACTCTTGACGTTAGGTGATCTACCTGCCTTGACCACCCAAAGTGCTGAGATTACAGGCATGAGCCACCATGCCTGGACAATTTTATTGATTAATAATTAAATCTCCTAATTTGTTATAGGTCTACTTAGATTTCTTTATCTTCTTAAATCAATATTTGTTTGGGTATTTCTAGGAATTTGTTCATTTGACCTAGACAATCTAACTTTATAATTCATTTCTTTAAAGTTGATAGTGGATATCCTTATTTTATTTGTAGCTTAGTAATTTGAGTATTTTTAATTTTTTTTTCTTGATCAGTCTAGCTAAAGATTTGCCCATTTTGTTTATTTTTTCAAAGAACTAACTTTTTGTTTTTCCAGTTTTCCCTATTGATTTTCTATTCTCTTTTTCATTTGCTTCTGCTCTAAATTTTATTATTTTCTTCCTTTTGCTTGTTTTGAGTTTAGTTTTTTCTGCTTTTTCTAGTTTCTTAAGGTGGAAAATTTGGTTATTTATTTGAGATCACTCTTCTTTTTAATGTAAACATTTATAGCAATAAATTTCCTGAAAGCAATGCTTTAGCTGCATTTCCTAAATTTTAGTATGCTGTGTTTTCTTTTCACTCATCTCAAAGTCTTTTCTGATTTTGCTTGTGAATTATATTTGACCTATTGGTTATATAGGGTGCGTATTTTAAATTTAAATATTTGTACATTTCCCAAATTTTCTTCTGTGGTTGTTTTGTAACTAAATTTTTCATGGTCAAAGAACATACTTTGTATTATTTAAATTAAAAAAAATTTTTGAGGTTTGTTTTATGACCTACCATATTGTCTATCCTGGAGAATGTTCCATATACTCCAGAGAATAATGTGTATTCTACAGTTGTTGGATTGGGGACTTGATAGGTTTTGTTATATCTAGTTGGCTTAAGCTCTTTTCAACTCCGTTCTGTTTGTTTGTTTTTTTTTATTTTTGCTGATATTCTGGCTATTAAATTTATTGTTTCTTGAAAGTAAAGTATTGAATTCTCTATTATTTTGAATTGTCTATTTCTCCATTTAATTTAGTCAGTTTTGCTTTAGATATTTTGATGCAATGTTGATATATACGTACATGTCAATAATTGTATTCTTCATGATTTACCTTACTTGTTATAAAATAGTCCTCATTATTTCTAGTAAAATACTTTCATTTTAAAGTATGTTTTTTTAAATTACTATAGCCACTCATACTGTCATTTGGTTATTCCCTAAATGGTATTTATTTTTACATTCTTTATTTTCAATATATTTGTATCTTTTAATCTAAAGTATATCTCTTTCAGATATCATATAGCCATATTATGTTGCTGTTGTGTTTTGTTTTAGTATTTATCCCTTCTTCCATTCTATGCTTTTTGAGAGGGAAGTTTAATCCACTCACGTTTAACATAATTTCTGATAAGGCAGAATTTAAGTCTGTCATTTTACTATTTGTTTTCTACAGATCTTACAACTTTCCTGTTCAATAATTGCTCAATTCCTGCATTCTTGTGTGCCAAATAGATATTTCCTAGTGAACCTCTGTAATTCCCTAGTCATTTCTTTTATTATGTTTCTTTTAAATGATCTTTTAGTGGTTGCATATGAACTTAACCTAGTTTTGACTAATACTCATTTTATTTCAATAAAATATAAACATTTTATTTCCATTTACCCTTGTTTTCTTTGCAGTATTTTTGCTATACCAATGGCATTTCTTAAATTTATAAGTCCATTAATATGGTTTTATAATATTGTTTAGGCAATTATCTTTTCAAACAGGAGAAGAAAATAATTGCAAATCAAAAATAAACTATATTGTCTTTCATACTACTGACACAATTACTTTTACTAGTGTTCTATTCCTTTAGGTGGATTTACTCAGCATGTAGTGTCTTTTACTTTAGATTTAAGGATTTATATAGTATTACTTGAAAAGTAGGAATGCTAGCAGTGCTCTCTCTAAATTTTTCTTTATCTGAAAGGGACTTAATTTATTCATTTTTGAAAGTTTAACTGAATGCAAAAATTTTGGTTGACAGTCTTTTTCTTTCAACACATTGAAGATATTATCTCACTGTCTTCCAGGATCCGTGGTTTCTGATGAGAAATTATTGATTTTTCTCTTGCTACTGTGAAGGCTTTCATTTTGCCTTTGACTTTTGTCAGTTTTATTAAGATGTATCTCAGTATAGGTCTCTTAAGTTTATTGTATTAGGGTTCATTGAGCTTCTTGGATGTGTAGATCCATATATTTCATCAAATTTTGGAAATTTTGGCTATTATTTTCTCAAATATATTTCTATCCTTTTCTCTCTTTTCTTTTTCTGGGATTCTTATAACACATGTATTGGAATACTGTGTCCCACAAGTCTTTTAGGCTTTATTTTTTATAAGTCTTTACTCTTTCTTCTCCTTACACTGGATAATCTGTATTAACCTATCTTAAACTGTGTTGATTTTTTTTTCCACCAGTGCAAATCTGTTGTTGAGGCTTTGTGGAGGATTTGTCATTTCAGTTCTAACTCCAGAATTTGTAATTCAACTCCAGAGTTTTCAACTCCAAAATATTTTGACTCCAGATTTTTCATATCTGCAATTCATATTTGGCTACTTTTATAATTTTCAGCTCTATTCTAGCTGATACTGTCTACTTGGGAATAGCTGAACTATCTACTTGGGAAGACAATGTTGTCATATGTTTCTTTAATTCTTTAGACATAGTTTCCTCTAGCTCTAATTTTAGTATATGTGTTGCCGAAGTGAGCATGTTTTTCTCTAGTTGTTAAACATTTTGTTATCACTTATTAAAAGTCTCTGTCCAAAGTCTGAACCCTATCAGGGACATTTTATGTTGACTACTTTTTCCCCCTTTAATGTGACATACTTTCCTATTCATTTTATTTTATTTTTGGAATGTCTTCTAATTTGTTTGTTGAAAACTGAACAATTTATAAAATCTAGTATCAGATTTTTTTTGTTGCTTATTTGTTTAGTGAGTTTTCTGAACTAATTATATAGTTATGTATTTCTTCTAGTAAATGGCCACTAAGTTCTCTTTTAGCTAAAAAATACATTTTTTAAGTTATTGTTTTTATTTTTAAGTCTTGCTTCCTAGGGGTCACACCCAAATCAGGATAATTTAGTGGTTAGTAAATTTTCTGAATGGTCAAAAGTTTTCCTTAAATATTTTGCATGCATGTCTTTTACCTTTGCACAGAGATCTGTGTGAAAAGGGGCCCTTTCATACTTCATGCAATTTACAAGACAGACTTCACTTGCAACTCCTGCTTGTGTAGGACCTCAAGGACAGCTGCAGGTGGGTGACTGGCATCTTATCCTTTCCCACATGTTTCCTGGTCATGGACACAGTCTTGTGCAGAAAATGGCTTTTTATATGCTCAGGAATATGTCATAGGTTTTCAGACTCCTCCTACAGTCATCTAGTTCTCTGGCATTTCCTTTTAAATTCCTGGCCATACAGTTGTTTGTCATAATTAAAAGTACAGCCTTAGACAGCTACTGCCAGAAGTTTGTTATTGTTTTGGTGATGCCCTAGGGATGGGCCATTTTCCCCCTCAACTAAATTAAGCTCTGAGTCAAATCAAATAGTCAACACATTCTGAGAATAGAGCTTTTCCAGAGAACTTCAATTTTAGACGAATATTGACTGTTTTCTGGGGACGGAGGTTTTAATAAAACTTTGAAAAAGCGGTTCAATTTCTCCATTTTCAACAATGCTGTCAACTTTTGCTTGCCATACTACTGAGCAGGGAACAAACAGGAGTAGGAATAATAAGTTAAAATTCAACTAGGTTCAGTAATTAGTGCTTTTCAGCTAACTCCTTAATTGTTAGGGTTATATAAGTGTTTTAGTTGTTTTGTCTGTATTTTCATTGTCTTGCAGAGGGAGCAAGTTCACCGATGTCTTCACCCTTGCATATGTGACATTTTACATATGTCCATTCCCTGAGCATATGTAAAATTAAATAAATATTTTTTCTTCACTCATAATGAAGGAAACAAGTAGATTTTATATACTAGTTCAAAGGAGAATCCAATAAAAATATAAATTTGTAGATCAGGGATATTGGATTAAATCTGCAAATTGAAGCAAAACTTTCTTTCTGAGGAAGGAGGATGGCTGTTCCTCTTGGGACATAATTCATTTGCATGTGTATAGATGAAAATTATTTTTGCATTGCTGTAAGTTATCTACAACTCACAAAGTTGTAAAATAGCTTTTATTGAATCAGAATCTGATAAGGCAGAAGAGTGAGTTATAGAAATGCATGGCCTTCCATTGAATCACAAATTACTTCCTACAAAACTAAGTTAAGAAGACTTTCAGAATAAATAAATCTTATGTTATTAGAAAATAGAAAATGGTTTAAAAAACGTAGGTCTTTAAAGTTTATTCTTATTTGTCCAAATTTGAGTCCCACCAGATAACAAGAAAAATGTGAAAAACATAATAGCACTCACAGGCATTTGGTATTTATACCTCCCCTACCACCACCTCGTAATCACCAAGGGAGTTCCATTTGGAGATTCTCTCTGCCTTATACACAACTAAGTTAAAGTATTGGGAGATTTTTCACAGGTTAGGGGCCAGAAAACCACTGCTTACATTCTTCTTTATGAAGTGGATATAGCTATAAAGGCAATTTCAAGTAGGGAGATAATACTAATGTTAAAATGCCTTCCAAATTACCTAAAACGGCTTCCTGAGTGATTGATTAGCATTCTGAGTCTTGTCTGACATACATACTTCATGACTTTCATTATAAAGCAGGAATCCACTTTTCAACTTCCTATTTCCTCTTTTAAAAGTCTCTCTACAAGAAGCAAATAAAAAGCTTAAAAGAAAATTTGAATCTGCTAACCTTTTAGCTTGGTTACTATCCCGTCTGAAATGTTACGAGAAAGCTATCCTGGATAAAGTGTTTATAAAAGGTAGGCCCTCAGGTAGAGAAGGGTTGCTTCCTTTTCTGATCTATCCTTGCTGAATCCTTGCACAGATATTCCTGAACTCAGAAATTTTAGCTAAGAAACAGCTAAGTTAAAAAGACCACCTATGGAAATAAAATACACCTTTCTGGCATAGATCTAGCTACCTTGACATGCTTTTGTCACTTGTAAGGGTGTCTGAGAGGGAGGACTAGGTCACTAACAACTCTCATCTTTTGTTTAAGGTACTGTTTCTGCCCATATTGTCTTTAATGGGCCTTTTAACTGGGCCTTTACATACATTTTATTCTTGGTTTGAATAAATGATGGTACAATAATTAGGCCTCAAGTCGTATCCCTATCCTTTTGAGGTATAAAGTTTCTACTTGGTTTTACCTAAGAGTCCTTTTTTTTTTTTTTTTTTTTCTTTTTAAGGCAAACTAATGCTGAGTGTATTGGTCTGTTTTCACACTGCTGTAAAGGTATTATCTGAGACTGGGTAATTTATAAACAAAAGAGGTTTAGCTGAATAGCTGGGGAGGCCTCAGAAAACTTACTATCAAGGTAGATGGTGAAGGGAAAGTCAGGCATGTCTCACATGGCAGGAGAGAGAGAAAGACCAAGAAAGTGCCATTCTTAAAACCATCAGCTCTCATCTCGTAAGAACTCCCCATCACAGGAACAGCGTGGTGGAAACTGCCTCCATGATTCAGTAGCCTCTCACCAGGGCCCTCCTTCAACACGTGTGGATTACATGAGGTGAGATTTGGATGGAGACACAGAGCCAAACCATATCATTCCACCCCTGGCCCCTCTCAAATCTCCTGCCCTTTTCACATTCAAAACCAATCATGCCTTCCCAACAGTCCCCCAAAGTCTTAACTCATTCCAGCATTAACTCAAAAATGCAAGTCCGGAGTCTCATCTGAGACAAGGCAAGTCCCTTCTGCCTATGAGTCTGTAAAAATCGAAAACAAGTTAGTTACTTCCAAGGACAATTGGGACATAGGCATTGGGTAAATATTTCTATTCCAAATCGGAGAAATTGGTCAAAACAAAGGGGCCCCAGGCTCCAGGCAAGTCCGAAATACAACAGGGCAGTCATTGAATCTTAAAGCCCAAAATGACCTCCTTTGATCCCATGTCTCACATCCAGGACATGCTGATGCAAGGGGTGGGCTCCCAAAGCCTTGAGCAGTTCCACCCCTGTAGCTTTGTGGGGTACAGCCTCCATGGCTGCTTTCATGTTTTGATGGATGGTGAGTGCCTGTGGCTTTTCCAGTCGCATGGTACAAACTGTTGATGGATCTTTCATTGTGGGGTCAGTAGGATGGCGGCCCTATTCTCACAGCTCCACTAGGCAGTGCCCCACTGGGGACTCTGCATGGGGCTCTGACCATACATTTTCCCTCCTTGCCCTAGCAGAGGTTCTCCATGAGGGCACTGCCCCTGCAGCAGACTCCTGCCTGGATATTCAGGTGTTTCTATACATCCTCTGAAATCTAGGTAGAGGTCACCAAAGCTCAACTCTCATCGTCTGTGTACCCACAGGTCCAACACCATGTGGAAGCCCCAAAGCTTGAGGCAGCCCCAAAGCTTGAGGCTTGCATACTCTGAAGCAATGGCCCAAGCTGTACCTTGGCCCCTTTTAGCTATGACTGGAGCTGGAGCAGCTGGGATGCAGGGTACCAAGTTCCAAGGCTGCATAGAGCATCAGGGACCTGGGCCTGGCCCACAAAACCATTGCTTTCTCCTAGGCCTCTGGGCCAGTTATGGGAGGGGCTGCCACGGAAGTCTGTGACATGCCCTGGAGACATTTTCCCCATTGTCTCGGCTATTAACATTCAGCTCCTTGTGACTTGTGCAAATTTCTGTAGCTGGCTTGAACTCCTCCCCAGAAAATGGGTTTTTCTTTTCTACCACATGGTCAGGCTGAACATTTTCCAAATCTTTATTTTCTGCTTCTCTTTTAAACATAAGTTCCAATTTCAAATCATATATGTGTTCAAAACTCTTTGTGAACACATATAACTGTATGCTTTTGGGAAAATCCAGGTCGCCTCTTGAATGCTTTGCTTCTTAGAAATTTCTTCTGCAAATACCCTAAATCATCTCTCTCAAGTACAAAGTTCCACAGATTTCTAGGGGAGGGACAAAATGCTGCCAGTCTCTTTGCTAAAGCGTAATCAGAGTGACTTTTGCTTCATTTCTCAATAAGTTCCTTATCTCCATCTGAGACCACGTCAGCCTGGATTTCATTTTCCATATCACTATCAACATTTTGGTCAAAACCATTCAAAAAGTTTCTAGGAAGTTTCATCAGCTCTCATGAGAACTCTCTCACTATCATGAGAACAGCAGAGTGGAAACAGTCCCCCATGATCCAATCATCTCCCACTAGGTCCCTCCCTCGACACATGGGGATTTCAATTTCAGATGAAATTTGGGTGGGGAAAGAGAGCCAAACCATATCACCTAGCTAACAATTGCCTAAGACAATAAAACAGCTAATTGGAAAATTGAGAGTCTAAATGGAAAAAAAAAATTATTTTATTTTTTCTAACTTTTAAATTCAGGGGTATGTGTGCAGGTTTGTTACACAGGTAAACTTGTGCCCTGGGGGTTTGTTGTACAGATTGTTTTGTCATCGAGGTATTAAGCCAAGTACACATTAGTTACTTTCCCTGATTCTTTCCCTACTCCCACTCTCCTCCCTCCAATAGGCCCCAGTGTGTGTGGTTTCCCTCTATGTATCCATGTGTTCTTATTATTTAGCTCCCACTTGTAAAGTGAGAACATGTGATATTTGGTTTACTTTTCCTGCATTAGTTTGCTAAGAAAAATAGCCTCTAGTTCCATCCATGTGCCTACAAAGGACATGATCTCATTCATTTTATGGCTTCATAGTATTCCACAGTGTATATGTACCACATTTTGCTTAACCCAGTCTATCATTGATGGTCATTTAGGTTGATTTCATGTCTTTACTATTGTGAATAGTGCTGTAATTAACATATGTGTGCATATGTCTCTATAACAGAATGATTTATATCCCTTTGAGGATATACCCAGTAATGGGATTGCTGAGTCAAATGGGGTTTCTCCGTTTAGGTCTTTGAGAAATTGCCACATTGGCTTCCACAATGGTTGAACTAATTTACCCTCTCACCAGTTTAAAAACGTTCCTTTTTCTCAACAACCTCTCTAGCATCTGTTATTTTTTGACTTTTTAATAATAGCCATTCTGACTGGTATGGTATCTCATTGTGGTTTTGCTTTGCATTTCTTTAATGATCAGTAATATTGAGCTTTTTCCATATGATTGTTGGCTGCATGTATGTCTTTTGAAGAGTGTCTGTTCATGTCCTTTTCCCACGCTTTAATGGGGTTGTTTTTCTCTTGTACATTTGTTTAAGTTTCTATGGATGTTAGCTATTAGACCTTTGTCAGATACATAGTTTGCAAAACTTTTCTCCCATTCTTTGAGTTGTCTCTTTACACTGTTGATAGTTTCTTTTGCTGTGCAGAAACTCTTTAATTTTAATTAGATCCAATTTGTCAAATTTTGCTTGAAAAAAATGACTTAAAATCTGGCAAATAAAAATTTTGTATGGAACCTATAAGATCTGCTTCTGTGTCAGTATGTCCACATGTCTTCGTTGCTAAGTGTAAGTGATAATATTTGATAAATAAAGCTAGTTTTTAAGTTGTTGAAAAAATAGGAATGGCTTCAAAATTGTAAGTTAAATATAATTCAGGCTATTTCGCCTGAAATTACTGGTGAGACAGGTTCATGCTATCTCTGCTACATGTTTTAAGGTCATAAAACTTCTGTTCCTGTAGTATTTTTGAGACTTCTTGATTTGACTGTGAGTTTATGCTTTTGATGTGGAGCCTCTGCACTCTGGGGTCTGGATAGGTTACCATGGTGAGACCTGAGGACATATTCTCCATGCCTGAACCAGCAGCTACAAGGCAGAATAAAGACCAATATGGCCCTTCCTCCTGGCTCAGCTTTGCCTTTTGGCTATTCTGCAAGTGGTTCTATCCTCCATACGTCATCTTCACAGATCTGTCTTTTACCTTGAACTCCATACCTGGTATGTAAATTCAGGACTCAGGCCCTACCTCTCATAGCCATCCTAAGTGCAGTGTGGCTGTTTGATATCCAGGATGATTGGGGAAAGTATTTCAAAATTCTTTTGAGTAATTTAAAATCTTAAAGTCATGTTATATTAAATTAAATAAGTGATCATCATAAAATGTCTGAGTCATTCGAAGTTAAAATACTAGAATATTAATTATTAAACATAAGTTTAAGTTTATGTACTTTGGCATCTTATTGTTATATGGCATACATAGAAAATCTATAGATATTCAGATCTGTTAATGAACAGATCTGCCTGTGTCTGTTTGACAGGCCAGGAGTTTGAGTCCAAGCTGGGCAACATAGCGAGACACTTTCTCTACAAAAAAAAACAAAAGAAAAAGAAATTAACAAGGCATAGTGGCAATGTGCCTGTAGTCCTAGCTACCTGGGAGGCTGAATTAGGAAGATCACTTCAGCTCAGGAGTTCAAGGTTACACTGAGCTATGATCATGCCAATGTATTCCAGCTTAGGTGACAGAGCAAGGCCCTATCTTTAAAAACAATAATAAAAATACTTACAAGAAATTATAAATAATTTATGGAAATATAGTAGGATCAAAAGCTGACTGAAATTGGATAGATTTGTTTACAAAGTTTTATTAAAATTAGTTTCAGTGTTTATTGATAATACACAAAAAAAAGAAATGCTTGGTTTGAACAAAAATTTTTATAGTATTAATAAGACACAGTAAAATATTTTTGTTTACCTTTTGAGTAAATCACACAAAACAAAAAAGAGAGGAATTAAGGAGAGACAAATTTTGTCTCATGCTGTCTTTCTCAGGTCTGCTGATTGTTTGGAAAACTGAGTTTCTTCTCCATTAAAGAATAAAACTTTTGCTTTTTAAATTAATTAATTAATTTTTGAGACAGAGTCTTGCTCTGTTGCCCTGGCTGGAGTGCAGTGGTGCGATCTCGCCTCACTGAAAGCTCCACCTCCCAGGTTCATGCCATTCTCCTGCCTCAGCCTCCCAAGTAGCTGGTAAAATTTTTAATTATCATTTTGGCTAAATGAATGACTATTATTTTACACTGTGTGTGATCTTGTTTTGGTCAAACGTTTTAAACATATTTGGTCAAGCGTTTTGACATGCTTGACAGACTCCCCAAAATCAAATTATAAGTTCAACATTCTTTTTATTGACGTCTAGCTTTGGAATGCTATGGAGGGCTCTGCTCTGGTGGCATACAAAAGAGAGATAATAGGCAGGCTTAATTGATGTGTTAAATTACACAGAAAGCATTCTCAAATAAAAAATAATGTTTAACCTTCTTCATTATATTTTTATGAATATGTTATTAATATATAGTCCAACAGTGTATGGGACCCCTAAATTTCTGATATGTCTGGGTATATGCTATCACTTATAATTATGGTTATTATGTTTAATTATTATAGGCTACAGAAATAACCAAACTTATTTGTTGATTGTGTCTTTAAGTATAATCATTTAAAGTCATTTCCACAGTTAATTGCTTAATTCTAGTGGAGTTTTGAAAACTTTACAAGCATATAAAATTCTAGTGTATTGTGTTTTCAAAAAGATTCATGAAAATAATGCAATCTGAAATGTAAGTTTCTGATAACGTTAGGATCATTTGGTCTGGGAAAGAATTCCCAGAACTTTAATAAAGAGACTGACTGGTTTTTAAAATGTTAACCTAAGCAGGGCAAAAATTAATTAAATATCAAGAAAACACTTTGCCAGATTTTCATGCTAAATCAGCCAGACCTGAAATTGTTTAGATAGGCAATTTGAATAAACTCCATGGTCCAAGTGAAATTACCTATGATAACCCATCTAATAGACAGTGTTATCTACCTTAATTGGAGAAACAAAATTCATATTTAGGAGGATATAAACCCAGTGTTAAGTCTGGACTCATGGAGAGTTTGTTCTGCCGCTTGGTTCTTCTGAGTTCTTAAAGCTTTTATTATTTAAAGCTTTACATACCATGAATCATCATGGAAGAGATAAAAGAATCAGAATTGAATGTTTGGTTTGTAAAGCCCATAATCTTGGGAAAACAATCAAAACTTCAGGTACATCTCTGCTACCTGATGGGCCATTCAAACATTTATAGAGGGATTTCACTCAATTGTCATTTTCAGTGTATGTTTTCTGGTAGTATAGAAGCTTTCCAGTGTAAGAATGCAGATGTTATAATTGTAGTTAAAAGGTTATTGGAAAATGTGTTTTTAGCATGAGAAATTTGTAACAAAATCTCCAGTGATAAAGGCATTTATTTCACTAGTCAAGTTGTAAAATTATTAAACAGTGTATTACAGATACAATAACATTAGGCAAAGGCACCTGAATTAATTGGATTGCCATGATCAAAGTTATTGCAGACTGATGACAATAAGATCTACTTCCAGGGGAAAATAGAAGCTGACCGACCCCTCACGAAATAGTCACTAGAGAACCTATGCCCCTAAGGATAAAATCTCATGTGTCTTCTGCTCCTAAACTCTAATATGACTAAATGCTGGAAGGCTTTAATGCATTATGCCACAGTGTATTTTCCCAGGTAAAGAAACGATTTTATTGTCCGCTAACTGAAGACAACCAAATCCTTTACATTCCAGAACCCACCCAGAGATTGAGTCTTCTGAGAATGACATCAGAGAAAGACTGCCCTTGCCACCCACACTGCAACAAAACTTTGGGACCTTGGATCTTGGGTTCATAATCTCGCAATTCAGAAGGACTTCTCCAGACTCTTAGATTTGAACCTTCATTGGAGACCTTAAGGTAAAGCTAACTAGAGAAGTTTCTCCCCAGAAGCAAACAATATCCTAGACATGGATAGCTTTAACCCACAATCACAAATCAAGACTTCCCTGCTATCATGAAACTCTTATCTCTCAATTTTTCCTAGCTTATATCTGTATAAACAATAGAACTTAAAAATGGATATTTTGTGTGTACTCATGGGGTGTACTTTCATTTGTGGAGGATTTTGCAACCCACCTTATACATGGACAACCTTATGTATTGACAGATGGATGATAAAGGGCTAATGTGGGGAGAAATTTTAGTAAAATCTTCGTTCCTTCTTAATCACTGAGAAACAGAACATTGGGCCACTCCTCTTGACCTATATCATAGGTTAAAAAGAACATTGCCAAGAGTCCTTCACTCTTCTGGATGGGCATCATTTATTAGGCCTCTTTTTCCATGGTTTGGGGTAAATGAAGCAATGACTAGAAATGTATCCCTTATAATAGGCTCTATAGCAGATTCTACTACAAAGGCTATGATTACAAAACATACTTTAATTTCTCTTACTAAAATTGTGCTATATAATAGAATTGCCCTAGATTACTTACTGGCTAAACAGAGAAATATCTGTGTAGTTGTTGATGCTTCTAGTTGCACATGAGGAATACATTGTGTATTATAGAGAGTCAGTTGAGGAGATTAATGAACAGACTGTCTGGTTAAAACTAGTAGACTCTTTATCTAGCTCATTATTTGATCTATTTGATTTGAGTTGGTTTGGCTTATGGGGAGCCTGACTAAGCAGCATACTCCAAACTCTTGGTATCATTCTCCTGATAGTTATAACAGTTGTCTTCATGGTGCATCACATTCCCTCAAAAATTGTAAATGTTTGTATGGAGCCATCTGTAAAATGTCGAATGGTCTCTCTTTGACTGAAACAATAAATAGGCAAAGAAATGTGTGATTATGAAAACACCATAACCTATAAATGAGGTGATGAGACCAGAAACCCAAAAAGATGGTAACTGAGAGTGGTGCTAAAGCCCTAAGTTTTTGTCACACTCTCACTTAAATGAGAAACCTGACCCAAAGGAGAAAATTTTTAAACATTTAAGTTTTATGAAAGGCCATTGTTTTGGCCTGTCCACAACAGACCAAACAAAACCAAAATGGAATCCCTCATGCTAAATGCAACATCATCAAACTGAAACTTTAAGGAAGTGGATAGGTCCTAAAACACACCAGGTTTTGTTGTTCTTCTATAAACAGGAGATTCCAGGGCAAGGAGGTCCCCCATCTACTCTAACCATTATCCACCTTATAAAAATATGCTGTTCTACTATTTCCCAGTAAGATTTGAGACTAAATAAGTACATTTACTATAGTAACAGGGTGGTGTCAATGCCTAAACTTTTGGTCAACCTCCCAATTTTGAGAGGTTGACCAAAAGGGGGAATTGTTAAATTAAGTTTACTCTACACCTGCCTTCTTATATATTTTAAGTTAGGCCTAAAGGCTTCTTTGTACATAGTGATCTGTAACCAAACTGGATGAGCTAATAGACTGTAACCTACTCTTGTCCCAATCATGGCGTTTCTGCCAATCAAAGGTGGCCAGCTCTTCAAACCATGTTCAAATAAGGCAAACACAGAGCTGTAATAGTCTGGCTGCTTCTGTACTCCACTTTCATTTTCTGTACATCACTTTTCTTTTTCTGTCCATAAATCTTTTTCAACCATGAGGTAGTACTGGAATCTCTCTGAACCTAGTTTGTGGCTGCCACATTCACAAATTGTTATTTGCTCAATTGAACTCTGTTAAATGTAATTTGTCTAAGGTTTTTCTTTTTAACATTCCTACATCCTAGTGTAGCACTTTCTTATCACTTAAAATAACAGTAATAATAGTAATAATGCAAATATAAATATGGACATAAGAACCATCCAAATAAAATATTCTCTTGCTAGATTTTAGTTCAGGCTGTTTGTAGACATTTGAGACAGGATTTTTTGTTTGAAGCATTATTCCATTGTGAAAATGTAGAAAGCCTAATGTCTATTTTCAAACATAGAATGATATATTGAGTAATTTAAAAAATCTTGTGTATTTCTTCCAATAATGGCAATCGGGGTAACCTTAACAGACTGCACTGTCTTGATGGGCTTATTATTTGCTGGAGGTTACAGAGCATATTGGGTAATAGTTTGACTTATTGGTGCATAAAACTTTAGCTAAGGGAAACACATCCACTAACAGAAATGCATTTTAATTTGGGGTAATTAGAAAAGAGTTTTGACTGTTACGTTAGAGAGCTGAGATTGAAATAGAATCACATCAATATGCTTTAAGAAGCAGTCCTCAAAATGAAGAAATTTCACCCCAAGATTGTTTGTGTTAGATTAAATAATGGTCCCTCAAATGTATCAGATTCTAATTTCCAAGTCCTATAAATGTTACCTTACATGGAAACAGGTTGTTTGTAGATTTGATTAAGTTAAGGATCTTGAGATGGAGAGATTATCCTGGAAGATCAGGGTGGGCTCTAAATGCAAATGTATGAATCCTTATAAGACGGCAAGAGAGGCTGCAGAGGGAGATTTGACAACACACAACAGAGGAGAAGGCAGAGTGAAGACAGATTCCAACATGCTGGCCTTGAAGATTGAAGTGACGCAGCCACAAACCAAGGGTTGTCAGCAACCATCAGAAGATGCAAGATTCAAGGAAGGAATTCTCTCCTAGAGCCTCCAGAGGGAATGCAGCCCTACAACACCTTGATTTCAGTCCAGTGATGCTGATAACAAATTTCTGGTCTTCAGAATCATGAGAGCATACATTTCTGCTGTTTTAAACCAACACATTTATAGTCACTTATTGTAGCAGCCCCAATAAACTAATAGAATGGTGATAAAATATACTTACCAAATCCTTGAAGTGGTTTCAGTGTTTTCTGAGATCTCCAGTTTTCTCTTTCACCCTCTAAATCTCCTTGGGTTATCACACCCATTTCTTCATTTAGAGCTATCCACTGCCTTCTCAGTTCTGTCAGAGCACTCTGCACCAACTTTTATGCCAGCATATATCATATCGTTCCAGCCTCCAAAACACCACCCTAATCTTACTATCTAAGCAATCACCATTTTATTATACTCATTAATTCTGCAGGACAAAAATTTGGTCAGGGTACGGACAGATGGCTTGGTCTGTTCCACAGTACCGGGGGCAATGCTGAGACAACCAAAATGTCTAAGGGACTGGAATCATACGAAGACTTCTTCAGTTGCATAACTGGTATTTGGACTCTTAATAACTCGGAGTTGAGCTTACCTTCAATGGTGGACCACAACTCCTCTACATGTAATTTCTTAACTTTCTCACAACATGGTGGCCAGGTTCCAAGAGAAAGCATTCTGAGGGAAAATGTCAGGAGGGGAGCATTCCAAGCCACATAAAAACATTTCCACCATAATCTACTGCTTAAAGTGATCAAAAGTCCACCCAGATTCTAGGAGAGGGTCCATGGAGTCAACTCCTTAACGGGATGTAGCAGGGTCTTACTGCAGAAGGACTTGTGAAGACATAGATATTGTGCGATTATCTAGTGAAAAATACAAGAGTCCACATTTATTCAAATATGGTTGCTTTGTCACCTGTCACCTGGCCTAACCTAAAACTCAAGCTCAAGAAAGTCCACTTGGTTTCTTTATATCCCCAACACCAAACACTCAAAAAAAAAAAAAAATGGCTTGAATTGAGAATATAGAGGTTGCAAAAAAAAAAAAAAGGAATGTGAGAAGAAAGGAACTGGAAAAAAAAAAAAAAAGCTTTATAATGAGTGAAGCTTTCTTCTAAAAAAAAAAAAATGTGGTGTGAGGCTCTGTGTTAACCTACAATTCCCTTCTACTTTCACTTCCTTTTCTATTCAGCCAAAAAAAAAAAAAAAATCATTATCAATGGCTCTTTGCCATGGAAAAAAAAAAAAATTTTTCTTTCAGCTTTGCCCTGGAAAAAAAAAAAAAAAAAATCAAGTTAGCTATTCGCCTTGTCCTCAAAAAAAAAAAAAATCACTGCCAGACAAAATTCCCACAGGAAAAAAAAAAAAAACTGCAAGTTCACAATTGACACTTGTAAAAAAAAAAAAAAAAAGGTCTGTGGGTTGGCTGACTCGGCAAAAAAAAAAAAATCATTTTCCCTTTTTTCTTCTAAGGCCAAAAAAAAAAAAACAGGAACTACCTGAGGCAAGTTCTTCTTATGGTAGGGTCAGAAACTCCCGGAGACATGAAATAGAAAAAAAAAAAAAAAATCAGATCTACAAAGAAAACTGACACACAAAAAAAAAAAAATATATTCCATTGTCCAAAGCATGTCACCGGGCCAAGCCAAACATTATAAAGCAAAGACAAATACTTCAAAAAAAAAAAAAATGGAATAATATATAGTATTTCCCAATAAAAAAAAAAAAACTCTTAGCTGTCTTTTATTCAATGTGTAAAAAAAAAAAAATTTCTATAATTTTCCCAAAAAGCCATTTATAATTTTTTTCAAGATCCCAGTCTTTTCATTAACCCACAAAAAAAAAAAAAAACAGAGTAGTCTCCAACTTCAAAGAAAAAAAAAAAAAAATTTAGCAAGTATCTTCTTATCTTTGCTAAAAAAAAAAAAAGAAATTCATTTATCTGCTCTCTTCTCTACCATTTTGGTCGAAATCATATTCAACATTCAGTTTAATGAAAAAAAAAAAAACTCTTCTCTGGGTCCTATCCACTATGAAAAAAAAAAAAAATGACACCATTAGTTATTTCTTCCTATTAAAAAAAAAAAAATTAGCCCTCTTCTTAGCAGAATGACTCAAAAAAAAAAAAACTATAAAAACTATTCACAATCCAATATTCAGCCAGATGTGATGATGTAAAATTAGGCAATAGTACTTAAAAAAAAAAAAAAAATTAGATGGGACAAGGAGAGTGGATAAAAAAAAAAAAAGAGTTCGAGACCAGCCTGGCCAACATGGTGAAACCCTGTCTCTA